ACGTGTGAAGGAGCTGGGGTTTTTGACCCTGAGAAAAGGAGGCTCAGGGGTGACCTTATTGCTCTCAACACCTTCCTGAAGGGAGGCTGCAGACAGGTGGGGTTGGTCTCTGACAGAACCAGAGGACACAGTCTCAATATACATCAGGGAAGGTACAGGTTGGATATTAGGAAAAAATTTTCACCTAAAGAATAACAAAGTACTGTAATGCTCTTCCCAGGGAGGTGGTAGAATCACCATCTCTGGATGTGTTTAAAAAAAGACTGGACATGGCACTTGGTGCTATAGTCTGGTTGATGTGTTATGGCACGGGTTGGACTCGATGATCTTGGAGGTCTCTTCCAGGCTCATTATTCTGTGATTCTGTGAAATTCCCTTTACTGCAGGTAAGAACAGAGAATTCCACATGGGCAGCCCTGTTTGTGCCCCTGGGAGAAGTGAGGGCAGTGTTTGCAAGGGAAGCTGAAACAGCTCAGGTATTTTCACTTGGGGACGTGGGTGCTGCTCCCTCTGTGCCATCCAGAAATCTGAACAGAAATTTCTCTGTGGATTTGCACCAGGATCCAAATAAATACCCACCTTTGTCTCCTGCTGCTGTGGGGGTTTATTTTCCTGACCTTGGGGGTGTGATATTTTATTTTAGGCTCCACGGGAGCACAGCAGAGGAGCCTCACATCCTGCTGGAGTGCGACAGCAGCGTCCTGGACTCCATCCAGCGGCACCTGAAACTCTACAAAATCCGCAGGAAAGTCACCATCAGCCCCTGCCCCGACCTGTCCCTGTGGGCTGTCATCCCTGGGGACACCAGCTCCCTCCCCAAATGTGCAGACCAGGCTCTGCTCCTCACCCCTGACCCCAGGGCAGAAGTCATGGGCTGGAGACTGATTGCAAAGAAAGGAGCAAATCTGGCAGAGATTATCCCTGGCAGCCAAGTTGGAGATGTTCAGGATTACCACAGGCACAGGTATAAACAAGGTAAAGCCAAGCCCTGGTTTGCAGTATGGGTTTTGGGAGTCCACATGCTGATTTCAGGCAGGAATAAGTTATAAACCCTTCATTCCCATTTTTAATGCATTTAATTTGTTCATTAATTGATATATTAATTGCTGCTTTGAGCATTAAAGTGAGCTGTAATTCTGTCTGGTGGCAATGTTTGAGTATAATTTTCTCTTACTCAGATTATGAGGATTGGTCAGGAATGCTAAAAGAAAGCCAGGATTATTCATTTTCTTAGAGAGAAGCTTCTGTGGTTGGAGTAATTTTGATTATTTTGG